GTGTGTGTGTGTGTGTGTGTGTGTGTGTGTGTGTGTGTGTGTGTGTGTGTGTGTGTGTGTGTGTGGTTTGTAAGGTGCTGAGCCATGCAAGCACTTGCTGAGAGTCATAAAACTCCAAACGCAACTTTTGGGCGATCCAAAAAGCTCAAGGAAAAAACTGCATGAGACCAGAGAGGAAATGAGCCAGACTGTCCTATGGCTACAAAGCACTGTTAAATCTCCTCCCACCATCAGACTACAGAGTGGGTGGATGCTGAGGACATCTTCATCCCAGATATCTGAGCAGGGTTGCCAGGGGGCCACGGGGGTGGTGGGAGACCAATGTGAGGTTTCTCATCCAGCGCCAGATCGCTCTGGGAATCCGCATCATGTGGAAAGGGAAGGAGGAGAGGAAACTGTAGGCACCTCCCCCCCACCCCCATGAGCTTCTGCACACCACAAAATCTAATTTTTGATTCATGAAGAGGTTGCAGTGACATTTAATTGCACGGCTACTGAGATAGAAATGGAGCGAACCAGTTGAACATAACAGTTCTTGAAAAGTCAACCACAGTGAAAAAAGCCATTTGTGAAAATCAAAACTGCAGTCAAAACATGTTGCCTTCTAGAATCAGATCAAAGGGATAGTTCACCCAAAATGAAAATGCTGCTGTCATTTACTCATCCTCATGCTGTTCCAAACCTATATGGACTTTATTTCTTCTGTGGAACATAAAGGAAGACATTTTTATCCATACAATGGAAGTCGGTGGTCACCAAAACTGTTTGCTTGCAATATTTTTCAAAATATCTCCTTTTGTGTTCAGAAGAGAGTCATACAGGTTTGGAAAAGCACAAGGATTAGTAAATAATGACTGCATTTTCATTTTTGGGTGAACTATACCTTTAACATTTTAGAGTTTTTGGTGTTTGTTGTTTAAGTCAGAATTCAGATGATTCATGTCATTTGTTTTGCTATACAGCTCTCACAAAAAGGCAATGCAATATAGAAAACTAAAATTAAAATACATTTAACTTTTTTATTTTATTATCTAAGCTCTTTAGGGTGCTCCGGGAATATGAAATGTATTGTATTTTGATTGGAAAGGAGTTCTGATGGAGATTAGAGACATCACGCATACTTAGAGCACCATCTAGTGGCGGAGAGATGTAATAAACTATAAACCAAGCCTACTCTGCCTCAGAAAATACTTGAGAGGTGGATGGGCTTGGATTAGGGTTAAGGTTGAACAAGTAGGCCAAGAGGGTCAAAGGCCATAAAGTTAAAAAACAAAATCACACGCATCATGGTTTACCGTTAAATAAATAGCAATAATATCTTGAATTTGCATTAAAGGAGCTGTAAAGGCTTTACTAGGAAAATGAGACTAGACTATCAAACAAACAGCACATTGATTTGTAACTGAATTGCTGAGATGTTTCAAATGTTGCAAATACAGATTTTAAAATGCTTTTAGTATATAAAATTAGCCACAGCCATATCACCCTGCAGCCCAAGACTGGTTGCCCACTGAAGCTAAGCAGGGTTGAGCCGGGTCAGTACCTGGATGGGAGACCTCCTGGGAAAACTAGGTTGCTGCTGGAAGAGGTGTTAGTGAGGCCAACAGGGGGTGCTCACGCTGCGGTCTGCGTGGGTCCTGACGCCCCAGTATAGTGACGGGGACACTATACTGTCTAAAAAGCACCGTCTTTCGGATGAGACGTTAAACCGAGGTCCTGACTCTCTGTGGTCATTAAAAATCCCATGCCACTTCTCGTAAAGAGTAGGGGTGTAACCCCGGTGTCCTGGCCAAATTGCCCCCCTGGCCTTTGTCAATCATGGCCTCCTAATAATCCCCAACCCCTTGATTGGCTCTATGACTTTCTCTCCTCTCCACCTGTAGCTGGTGTGTGGTGAGCGCACTGGCGCCGCTGCCAAGTGGATGCTGCACACTGATGGTGGTTGAGGAGAGACCCCCCTACATGATTGTAAAGCGCTTTGGGTGTACAACAATACACGATAAAGCGCTATATAAATGCATCATTCATTCATTCATTCATAAAAAAAAGCATTTCGTATAAAATCTAACTAACAGTCTTTAATTGGATAAAAATAAAAAAAACATGAACCGTTTATTTGTCACTTGGTTGCAGGTGGTTATAGTATACTAGTGTAATTGGAGGAAATAAAATATTTATTTATTTTTGTAATACTTAATACATATGGTCAAATTTAGAAAAAGAAAAGAAAACGTTGCATAATTCACCCTATAGAAACTGTTAATTGATTTGTAGTTTTTCTCTAATGGTTATTGATTGCCATTGACCCCACACAGGTGTAGTGCAGTAGTGTTGGCATCTGTCCGCATACAGGGGGCGCTCGTGTTTAATTTCTGCCGGTCTCCAGCTGCTGGCTGCCGCTGCTGTGATTCACAGCTGTAGTCTTCAGTTCTCTCCACGGTCGGTCAGGGATGCTGACGGGTCATGTCAAGAGAAGAGGCGAGTGGAACCTAAGTACTCCTGAACTTTTCTTCTCCTGGACAGTATACAGAAAAATCTGAAGACATTTCAAAGAAGACTTTGCTGCTCAAGAGTGTTGGTCTTCATCGCTCTTTAAGAAACTGATTAGTTCGTAGTATTAAATCGCTTTCGGCGGACATGTAAGTACTCAGTACCCGTAACACTGCATTTCATCAGGCTCTGTATTACACCACATTTACTTTGTAAACGAACGCCTAAACGCGACGCGAGTAACGCGCTCATTATCATCAGGAAAGCTGCTGCGTTTTAGTATGTTTTCGCGTCGCAGTTTATATGTAGTGTAAAACTCCATCATCATGATTCTCATGGTTTCTTTTAGTGGCGGGTCATCGTAAAATGTTTCCAGAGAGAGGAGGACGCTTGACTTTTCTGACTGGGGTTTTGATCGCGACGCTGTCATGTGAAGCGAGAGGTGAGTCATGTTGTCTATTACGAGTCTTATTCATTCATTAGAACATAATTAGAGGTATACTTTCAAAATCATGATATTCAATCAAATCTGGAGATATAATTAAAATAAAAACTTTAAAGCATCACAACCTAAGCATCCTCATAGGACAAGTTTGCATAAGATAAAATGCAAAAGTTAAGATGCAGTGGGATTTTACCATTGATCATGTCACTGAATATATTTACTGAACGGTCAATTCATCTTGACTTATCATCTGAACACCAATATTTCTGAGATTTATTTAATTTGTATTTTAATCTAAGTAATTAATGTAGATTTTTACAGAAACCATATTTATTTCATTATATTTATTTTATTTTATTCAGACAGACTGTCAGTGTTCATTAATGGTGTGGCTTTTTAGAGATTCTTTCTGCAGGTTACATCGTTTCTCCAGTAGTTGGAGCAACAGTTGCAACAGGTCTGTTGTGGCTTTGTTTGGAATTACTTTCATTGGTGAGCTACTGTATCTAAAATGTAAGTTACTCAACATTAACTTCTTGTTTATAAAAACAATGTCGCACAGTTGTTCTGTATCCGTGTTACTCCAATAACTAAATGGCTTCTAATTTTAATGTGTATTTGGTAACAACCAGGACTTGACATTAACTTTTTTTGCTCACCAGCCACTTTGGCTACTGGATTTCCAAAATTTTTCACTGGCCTCAATTTTGTTGTTAGGAAATTGCATTTTATATGATTAAAGTTGCCAACTGCATACTAAAATGTACTTTCACGCGACTGTTCTGTTGTTTTCTGCTGCTGTTTGTTTGGAACTTTTTTCATTAACCAAATTTTCGTTAACCAAAAACAGTCAACATTTACAATATTATGTCTAAAATGTAAGTCACTTAATATTAACTACTCGCTTAAACTCTTGTTTAAAATCAGTGTAAAATTTGCAATCGTACTGTATATTAAAGTCAACCCGCCAAAGTGGCTAGTGGGAGTGACTGTGTTTCATGCCACTGCTCAAATCCACCCGCATTTGGCGTGTTGGAGGGTGTTAATGTCAGCCTATTTTGATGTAGCAACTGCAGCTCATGAATCAATTATGTTAGGGGCTGTTTGTTTGTTCTTTACTTATAAAATCCTGTTGAATAGCAGCCAATGCTGATTTTTATTTTTTCTCTCTATGGTGTTTTTATTATTTGATTTAATAATTATTAGAATATATTCCTGTCTATAATTCATAGAATTATATAGTGTAATCCATAGCTTTGACCAGGATTCTGTCATTCTGATTTTTCTGTCATTATTCACCTAATTATGTAAAAATGCCTATATTTACATAGAATATTTCAAGAATCAAATCACAGCTGGGATAAGTGTACACACTAGTGTAGGCTGCTTGTTTTAATCTCAGTACCTCATTGGTTTCTATGAGTATGGTCAGATCAGATTGGCATGACACTCCTCCAGCAATCCTTACACACACAAACACAGCAGTCAGTTCAGACAATGTGTGAACACAGCGGTTTGAGAAATGCTCTTGCATCCCTGTTCTCTCGTGTGGTCAGATATTTCCTGTTTCTCACTAACTTTCCTGCCGGTGGAGAGAAGCTGACTGCTTTCTCCCAAGAAAATCTGTTCCTGTGGCACCGCACCTGGCTGTTATGAACAGCACAGCTTTAAGTTTGTTGAATGACAGAAATGTGTATCCAACAGTCGTGGCAGTTACCAGCTGTTTAGAATGGCACATGTATCAAAGGCCTGGATTGTGCTCTTTAAAGAGGTCAGATACAGTCAAATGTGGTACATTTTCTATTTGCAGCCACAGGAACATCAGGAAAAGGGTTTCTTTTTCTCTACTCTCAGATATTTATATTTTTACATATTTTATTATGTAAGAAGGAGAAGTTGGCCCTCATGCCCCATTTACCTTGATGATCTACCTTTTAAAGTAGAAATAGCTTTGATAAGAACAGGGAAAACAGACTTCATTTATGCAGCTCTCCCTTCAGCTGGTCTCTCAGCAGGTGTCAGGATCTCTGGGTTTATTAGACAGATAATGCAGTTCTGCAGGCGGGCCCTGCTTATCAAACAAATTATAATGGAGCAGCTCTGTTGGAGCCATGCTGTGTCTGTGATCTGCCTCTGCAGGACAACAGTAATGCAGGCGTCAGTCTCTGGCTGCTTTGGCCAATTTACAGAGAAGCCAAACGCAATGGAAAAGCATAGGCTTCTTCATATACTATGCTTTGGATGATTGGTAGGCCTGGGCTTTATTTTAATGCAGAATTATAATGGCTGTCATTCACAAAGTTCTACAAATTCTGTGTCGCTTATGTGTTTGTTTATTAAACATTTGGTCAATGTATTATAAGCTACCAATAGAAGTAAAGCCCCACTCACACCAAAGACTATAACTAAAAATTTTAATTTTAGTTTTAAAGTTTTAAAAATCATTCTATTTGTATAAGAATAGGGACATTCACACCCCAACTATAGAAATAGTGACATAGAGGAACAATATCGTTGGAATCACTTTCATAACGATTTTCCCAGCTGATGAACGATAAAAACATTGACAGCCAATCAGAATCTCCCTGACTTTAAAGAGCTGAGCATTTAAAGCATCAAAACTGCATGCTCACTTATAATAAACAATGTCATTGTCCTTTGGTGTGGATGCTAATATAGTTATCATTATAGTTATATTTGCAGTTTTGCCTTAAAGGGGTCCTATTATGCTTTTTCACTTTTTCAGCTTTAGTTAGTCTGTAATGTTGCTGTTTGAGCATAAAAAACATCTGCAAAGTTACAAAGTTCAAAGTCCACTTCAAAAGGAGATATTTTATTTAACAGAAATCACTTTTCAAAAACTACAACGAACGACTCGTTTGGACTACAACGCATATTTTCCAGGATTTGTGATATCACAAATACAGACGAATGGGAGGAGACCTGGTTGAGCTGCACTAGAGAAGGCAACAAGTGTTATTACTATGTCGGAGACACGCTAGCTTTCCCAAGGCAGACGAACTTGGAGTGGTTACAATCATCCGGGTTTAAATCGTGCTCAAATTGATTTGATTTTGACGCAATATTTACACTGAAGCTCGCAGGCGGCTGTGGTAAGGGGCATGACATTTCCTGACCAGGCGCCGAGTGCTGCCAATCACAACACACACTGACCCAGCTAACCAATCACAACACACACTGGCCCAGCTAACCAATCACAGCACATTTCGTATTTCAGAAGGCGGGCCTTCATTTGATACAGGAACTATTCGAGTCGTTCATGCCAGACTGGGGAGAGAGGTGTTGTAATAATGGAAAATATGTGAAAAATAATGTGTTTTTCAAACAACCTAGTATGAGAGCCTGTTCTCGTACACCCCCAAAACAACATCAATACTTTGTAAAAGAGCATAATAGGACCCCTTTAAGACTTTAATACTCACAACTTTTTTACCATATTTAAAAAGTGATTGTTCACTAAAATTGAACATTTTGTAAACATTTATTCACCTTCATGTTGTTCCAAACCTGTATCACTATATTCTTCCAAAAGGGGACATTTTAGAATATTATATTTAGAATATGAAAAAAATTAAGAAAAAACACCTAGCAGGCATAATGCTTGTGTGCTATATTTCAAGTCTTCTGAAGCCATAAGATATTTGTGTGAGGAAGAGACCAAAATTTTAATCTTGTAAACCTCACATTATTCTAATATTGCTCATATATTATTCAAATATCATTTTTATTGGTTTTGTAACCAGTCTTAGACCGTCGTGTTACACGTGTGCATAATTGCATAAATAAGATTTGATAGTTACAACATTAAACTGGCCATCCAGTCTAGAATGTTATTGTATGTTCACTGTGATGCGTCTCTGGTGTAGTTCTTTTTATTCGTTCCTCTTATAGATTCTCTATAGAAAATGTATTCAAATAACTTTACTTGCATATTACTACAAGCACATTTACTGTATGTAATTTCAATGAACTGCACCTAGCACTGAGTTGTACATGTATCCTGTGTTAGATAAAATATGTACTTGGCACAGAATTGAAAATGCCTAAGGATACAAACAGCTGTAACCAGAGCTGTTCTTATCTGCTTGTCTGTCTGTGTGCACTGGAGACAGAGTTATTGTCTGTCTGAAAGAGCTGCAAACTGTATCAGCTAAATGCTGCATTCTAGTAAAAGAAAACTTTTTAAAAAATCTGGAAATGTCAGTATGGAGTTCTTTAGAAAGGAACATTATGTTACACGTGTTTTTGCATGCTTGTGTACATGTGTTTGTAATTGGCCTGTAAATGGCCTGGTTTCAGAGATAATTATAATGTTGATGGAGGTGATTTCACTATTAACACTTTTTTTTCTGCTGAAGTTTGTCCTGCCACAGGAAGTAAGCATTGTACCTATGTGGCAACTGATATTTCAAAAAAGAATTATTTGGCAAAAACCTCTCTCTGCGTGTGTACGTGCGCACACATGCACATGTACGTGTGTTCCTTGGCATTGTAAATGCTGAGCGAGTTAACCAGCACATTTCATTCGGGAAATAGTGCAGTTGTTAAATTTGAACATGATGTTCATAATATCAGGTCTTGCAGTGAGTCCAAACACATGCACACACTAGAACATTAATGTCAGGACAGCATCAACCCAGCCTGGCAAAAAAAATGATGCTGTATTTTACCCCATATTTTTTAATCGCAGATGCAAACCAGAACCATTAGCCCATTATTCTCCTCTGAAGTCTGAGGGCTTTTCTTTGTAGTTTGTGATCTGTTACACGTGCACTCACATCACAAAAGCCATCGTTTTGTGGGTGAAAAGTCAGTTTACGTAAACAAAGCGGCTAATGAGCTGCATTTGTCGGTGCTGTATTGCGTCGACGCAGCTCTTTCAGTGTCGGTATTTATGGAGGAGGTATTAAAACACAAAGGAAGCACGCCAAGCCTTTGAATATATTTTTTTTATAATCTAAGCTTAGTTTAAAAGT